ACGTTGGAGAAGTTCATGGAGGACTGTCTCCCGTGAGAGGGACCCCACACATGAGCAGGGGAAGAGTCCTCTCCCTAGGAAGAAGAAGCAGCAGAGACAATGTGTTATGAACTGACCCCAACCCCCATTCCCATCCCCCTGCACCGCTGGGGAGGGGGAGTAGGTAGGAAAAACTAGGAGTGAAGTTGAGCTCAGGAAGAAGGGAGGGGTGGGGGGGAAGGTGTTTTAAGATTTAGCAGTTTTTATCCTCTCATTCTCTGATTTTGATTGATAATAAATTAAATTATCAAGTTGAGTCTGTTTTGCCCGTGATAGTAACTGACAAACGATCTCTCCCTGTCCTTATTATCTCGATCCACGAGCCCTTTGATCTACTTTTCTATCCTCTGTCCGGTTAAAGAGGGGAGTGATAGAGCGGCTTTGGTGGGCCCCTGGCATCCAGCCAGGGTCAAACCACCACAAGAATACTTCCGCTCATTTCCATATTTTTTGAATGAGGCCCTACGCAATCATTTATGTTCCAGAACAAGCACATGTCCTGCTAAAGCATCTTCTACAATGGCTGTTACACGGCTGTGATAATAATCCATGGAAAACATACCCCTGCTGACTCACACCAGAAACCAACTCTGAGACACTTTTATATGATGCGAAGTCTTACTCGCTACCAGGTTTCCTTCAGGAACACTGCTTGTACTGGTTTAGGGAAACATTGGTTTGACAGTGAAGTCTCCTTTAGCAGGGTAATTTCTGTACTCGCCCTTTTTTCTTGCAATGGCATACACTATCTCTGTTTCCTTCTCCTGTGACACACCATTCTGTGCTTTAATTGTTAAGACTTTTTTTTCTCCATCTCTCTTTCTCACATAATGTCAGTCTTAAAATGACTGCAGTGAGTTGATGCTCATACTTGCATGGAGGTATGTTCAAATCAAGAGATCACATGAATCGACTCACAGAAGCAGGGCACATGTTATACTTAATATACTTCCCATTGGAAGTAATTGACAAGCAAATACGTGCTAAGCAATGGGACTTCCTTATTTTCTAAGTCTAGATGGGTAGTGAGAAGTATATACAACTGCATCATATGGATTTCCATGTGAAGTATTAATGTGTTAACGTCATCTTCACGTATCTTAGTTGGCATCCATTTTTTCAGGTATCTTCGGTCAAAGTTTCATTTTTCCCCTTCCCAAAATAAGGTAAAACTGTATTGGTCATACTTAATTGAACAGAATCATAAACTTGTAAGAAGTAAAGACGGTTTTCAGAACAGCTGCCTAGAACCCTAGAAAAGTTCTACTCCATGGAATATGCTGTACACCAACAAATAAACATTACTTCGTTTTCTATATATTATTGGGTTTTTTATTATACTGTAGTACTGCAGACTGTTTCAAATGCTTCCTCTTAATGGTAAATATAAGATCCAAAGAAGGGTTTGAAGGAAGACATTAATTTAGCACCAGAATCAAATGGTCACAACTACTTGTTTGCTTTCAAAGACAGCATGGCACAGGGCAAAGTATATTGGACTTTTCCCAAGTCTACTTCTTCTTGTCACAAAATAATGCAAATCAATTATCAAAAAAAATGGTGCCTTCCTATTTTCCGTTCACATTCATCTATTCTCTAATTTTGAGATGCTACCTGTATGCTAAGAATATCCTCACCTCGTTTCGCAGCTCCTATCTGACTTCATATCTTGGATAATTTTTCTGACAAGCTTCCTGGGGTATTTTAGCGCTCTTTCAGACCTAATAGGGGAGTGTACAGCCATGGCTGTACCAAGCCCTAGGAAACCCATTATCCTGCCTATCACCCAGCCAGAACAGTGGCGTCACAAGTGACTCTCCTCTTCCTGCTGTAGCTGCTCACCATTTCCTGCCGACTCTTCCTTT